TTTTACTTTTTGACATTAAAAATTATAAAATTTTAATTTTATAAAAAAATTAAATTATAATATTAAGTACATTAAATCAAAGTTTTTATCTTAAACTTCATAAAAATCAATATATGATAAATATTTTGAGACCGAAGGAGTATTATAAAAATAAATTTTACCTTTCATTAAGTAACTAGTTACAAGATTCATTTGTCATTGGAAGGAATATGAAATGTTAAATTCTTTTTCTTCACTTTCTAATGTACTTACAAAATCTTTAGTCAATATAATTAAATTTCTTTTATACGATAAATTATTTTCAGAAAAGAAAATCCACCAATTAGAATATTTGATTTATTTCAACTGTTTATATTCGATAATATTTTGTGAAAACAACCAACCTCACTTATTTTTGCATCTAACAGTCCAAAATTAGTGCACCTTATCCAAGGGTTGAAATTTGTGCTCACCACAAGAAATCTCCTGATAGTTGCCCTTGCATCCTCTACTTGTTAGTTAAACTTCTTTAATCTTTCCAAGAAAAATGTGTAGAAGAAGATACAATAGTATAAAGCTTGATTCAACCATTTACCATTATTTTTTTCTCTGTTTATAGCGTCCTTTTAAAGGAGAGGTAGATAAAGAGATGGTTCCAATGGTCCTGGTAGCCAAAAGGAATCTAGCAGACTCTGATTGTTTCTTTATTTTTACGTTGACACCGTACATTTTACTTTCCTTTTTTTCTCTTTGGAGAAAGCATTTAAATCCCTAGTGCAACCTTGATTTTCTGGATTTGATAATTTTAAATAAAATATAATGATATAAAAAAATATGAAAATAAAATAATTTAAAATTTTATTAAAAATAATATATAAATTTTGTAAAAATAAAAAAATATATTTTATATTTAACATATGAAGATAATAATTTTAATATTTTACATATAGTAAATATCAAATAAATAAATATGAAAATTTTCATGTTTACTTTCAAATAAAATTTACCAATAAATTTGGTAAATCTAATTCATGTACTTTCTTTCTATCAGATGAAGATATATTTAACATATATTTAACATATATTTAACATACTTCACGTGCTTTTATTACCTTTAAAACGATGGTACTTAAACTGTTAAATCAAATATCCAAGTTTGAGAAAAACAAAATATCAATCCAATCCATCTTTATATATTATCTTCTACGGTCTAAAGGAAAACTGTGGCCACAATGCAAATCGGTGGAAAAATACAGGAGAGGTACCAAAGCAAGCGCAAAATTAACAGGAGCAAGAGTTTTTGGTAAATGCATTACATGCTTCTTGATGTGCGGCCTATTTGTCTGGTAATTGACAATAGCCTGGAAGAAATTAGAAATATTTATAGGAGGAGGCTTACTCCATACTTTACACAATTTCCAAGGATTTCTGGAAGCTTTTGCAGGAAAATTCGCTGGGACTCTCAATTAGGAGGAAGATGACAAAAGACATAGACCAAGACCAAACAAGACCAGAACCCTACCGGCTCCCAAGTCACAAACATGACACGTACATATTGCTGCCAATGGGATCGTCGATCCTTGCTTTTCCTTTTCATTTCTACGCGTTTTTTTTTTCTTTTTTTTTTTTTTTTTTTATAAAAAAAAAAGCGAAGGAAAGTTTCTGAAGATTAAGTCAGAAGGTAAGTTTTAAAAGAGAGTTTACATTGAATTCATGAATTATTCGTTAAGAGAGATTATTGATAGTAAAAATCGAATTTAAATTTTATAAATAAAATATTTAATTTTTATTAATTTGAATAATTTTTTAAGTTAAAAATATTAATTTTATTTATATTTAAAAGAGTATTTTTCTTTTTACTTGAATAAAAATGAGTAAATATTATATTTATAAGATAAATATGAGAATGTGTAAGATTTTAAATTTTATATAAGATATGAAGATGAAGACGGATAATATATCATTTATCTCGTATTCGTTCTCATAACTTATATATATTTAGTAAATAAATTTTTGATTAAATATATAAATTATTATTTTAAATTAATTAGAATTAATACTTTTCTATTTAAAATATATATTTATAAAAATATTACCCAAATATATATGCAAGATAAAAAAACTAAAAAACTAAATTTTTATTTTTTAAAAAATTAGAATATAAAGATTATCCATACTAATTAAATACACACGAAAATAAAAATAAATTTGAAATGCTTATTAGATATGGGTACGGTAACGTGTATAATAAATTCGAGAATAAGATGAAAATAAGAAATACTCTATAGATTTCATATTTTATCTATTGACATTCTTGTCATTGACATTTATTTATATCTATTAAATATCTAATGAAATAAGTTTAGATTTGAAATATTTATTAGATATAAGTATAGAGATATATATAATATAAAATTATAAAGATGAAATAAAAATAAAAAATATTTTACATTTTTCATATCTTATCCATTAACATCCTTACGAGTGACATTGGATCTAACCCACAAAGCCTTGGCCACTCGAAATTAAAAATTTTGTTCCCACAACAAAAGAAAATTAGGAATGATTATGGTCTGCTGTTTCCAACCCACAAATCGCAAAAGAGCCTATTGTCCCCTTTTATGGGACCCTAGAGACCTGCACTGAAAAAAGTCTAAAGGATTGTAATTATTTTTGGTTAATACATTTGGACTTGGGACTCTGGGTTACCAGAAATGATGAGCCAAGATGGAAACTTAAATTATTTAGTTTTCTTGAGATATTGCGCTTGTGAATCAGCATGCTAATAGGGTAATGAGTTTTTTTTTTTTTCTTTTCTTGTGAATGTTATTCTCACCATCCTTTAATCTAAATAAATAAATTGGCACTAATACAATAATCAGTGTTTATCTTCACTTGGAAAAGGAAAAAAGTTGCCTTTGCTATCTTTTTTCTTACCTACTTCCATTCCATAGACCCTGTGGCAATCTTCAGAACAATAAGAATACAACTCCACTTTAAAAAAATAAAAAACCCTAAAGTAGGATAAGAAAAGCTAATAGGGAATGAGATATGAGATATTCTATAGTCAACTTATGATTACAAAATGATGTAATGCTTGCAATCCTAGGGGTGCCGTAGGTTTTTTTTTTTGGCCAGATAGGTCGTCATAGTTGATAATTGATTTAAGGGTATAAAAAAACCTTTTAAGTATAATTAAAAATATTTAAATATATATTTTTTTATTGCAATAAATTAATCTTTTTAAAATTTATTTGCATTCAATTAATTTTTTATTTAGATGAAAAAATTAATACCTTTAATTTTTTTGCTAATTAAGATAAAATTACATATGACGTCAATAAAATAAATTAAAAGTTTGCCATGTGGTGCAATTATTATATGTAAAAATTAAATAAAATATTTTCTTTCTTTTTCTTCTCAATTTTTTCTCCTTCTTTCTCTCTGAGATCTTTGTAAGGGTGTAATTTATTGTAATTAGGGGATTAATTGACTTAATTTTATCACATGACAAACTTTTGCTGAATTAAAAGTTCAATTGATTTGAAATAAAAGATTAAGAACTCAATTGATTGTAATAAAATATTAAAGGCTTAAATGATTTTTTAATTTTAATTTAAGGATATATTTTACCCTTTAGTCTTGATAATTTTTTTTTTTCATTTTTAAGGTGAAGTTGATAATTGAGTTCATCCAAATGGAAATGTTAAGGAAATCATTTTAGTTTGTTTTATTTTATTGCGGATACTTAGCATCAAATTTTTGGATTTTCTTTTTGCTTGTAAGCCTTTTTTTTCTTTTTATAAATTAAAGCCATAATTAAACCATTGCAACGCTCCATTCCAATTAGTAGACACAAAGAGGTCATAATTTTAGTCTTGATTTTTTTCACATAAGAGATTGGGCCTTGAGAATAAAAAAGTTACAAAAATTAAAGTTTGAATTTCAAATTTATTGATATTATTTTTTAAAGGTGATTATATTAATCAACTGAGTTAAATTTTAAATTTGATCTTAATTTTTTTTTTTCATTTTAATTTAACAATACCATGAAAAGGAGATTCTAACCAACCACAACCTGCCCATCTTTCTCCAAACTTTGGAAGATGGGTAAAACCCCATGGTTTTAATTTATCTATACAAGAATTAAGCCTATGTGTAATTAACTTTCCATTTTTGTAAAATTAACTTTCCTTTTCTCTTGCCAAAAGGAAAAAGAGAAAGAAAAAAAAAGCCCATAATCCCTCGCATTCCACGACTTTGGTTGGCCAAGTGTGTCTTTTGGTACATTCCCTCAAGTTATTAATACAAATCGTAGTTGACTTGTTTGCAGCTCTAATAATAAATTATTGGTATTGATTGATTCATCTATAAAATATTTGTCCAACTAGCCAATATTTGGCCGACAAAAGACTATGTCAAATAAAAAAGCTTCAATTTAAATTGTATCCATTTTCTCCTTGTTAAGCAGAAATCGGCGCCTGGATGATCCTCAAAGAGACCATGATACCTAATCTTCATTAGTATTGAATTTTAATCATCAATTAGTGTTGTTTCTTTTTGAATGCATCACAATTTATAAAGGAGATGACAAAAATAAATTTAGAAGCAAGTATGTTCAAATTTTAAATAGTCAAAAATTGTAAAATAATTATATTGACATTAGACAAGATAATTTTAAAAATAATATGATATGATAAGAAAAAGATATTAAAAAAATTAAGAGTGATATGATTCGAAATATTAACAATAATTGTATATGAATTTGATTCAAATAAAAAAAAATATATTGTATTTGATATATTAACATAAATTATGATATGATAATATTTATATTTTACACTTAATACAAAATAAATAAATAAGAATACATCAATTCCCAGTGCTCTTCAAAGGTTCTTTTTTGTTTCCTTTCCCTACCAGCTCTTGAACCTTGGTCTAAGTTGTAAGTGTTAAACAACTAACCTTCAAGGACAAGAGGAAAGCCAGACTGTTCAAAGTTTCAATTCTGACTTTGTAATATTCAATTCAATTCTCAACGGCCTTTCACATTCACATTTGTGAGACCTTTACAAAATTTTCCAAACCCAAAATGTTCAATTTCACACTTATTAAGATACATGTAAGAAGTAAACAAGCTTTTGCTCTTTCTCATATGATGGTGGTGGAATAGCCACAGCTTTAATACAGAAGAAGATGAACAGAACCACTTGAAAAGAGTGAATCATTATCCAATCACTGTATTTATTAATTTACACAACAGATGGAAACCCATTTTAATCAAACTAATCGTATTCACTTTCTGAAAAAAAATCAAACACAAAAAACAAAAAGAAAAAGAGAAATTAAAGAAAAAAGGGAACAGAAAGGAAAATCAGCAGTCCACCTTTCATTTGCTCTCACACAGTAATATTTATATTTTCAAAATGGATGCAAATTCCTGCTCAAGCCATTGACATTAGAAAATATGCCCTCCAAGTCCTGCCTGTAAGGCAAAAATGACCTTCTTTTGTCCCATGGTTTCATATCTCTGTTCCTACCACAATGTTCTTCAGCTTCCTTAAACTTTCCTGGAAATTCCATGACCTTATTGACATCGGCGTTACTAGTTTTGTCTCTCTTGCTTGGTGCTAAGAAAACAAACGTGTCTTTACCATCGCTGTTACTTCTATAAACTAGGTCCCTTAGCCTCCATCTCTTTGGTAACCCAGTTGAATTGCTCTTCTTGCATCTTCCCGGGTATTCTTTTTCAATATTCTCTGATTTCCCTCCCTTTGGTGTCCAGACGCAGTAAGTCCCTGGCGTTACCCCATCGAGTTCACCAGCTTCTGAGGATGAACATGAAGTCGTTTCACGTTCTTCACTCATAAGTTCTCTCAACGGTAAACGATGGGATCGTGGTTTCGATGCAAAGGAATTACAGTCAACGTTTTTCACATCAGGAGTTTGATCATCGTTGAGCAAGTTCGTGTTGAAAAGTGGATAGATTGGCCTGATTTGTCCGTTGTAAAAGATTTCGTCCGCTGATTTTGGAGATGTCTCTGGCTCTCTGCAGACAAATGCAAACTCGAAATCATCGTCTTCATTGTCTTCCCCTTCCATGACTTCTTGTTGTAGTTGTTGATGTTGTTTTTGTTGGGGCCAAGCTTCGTAGATGTCGTCTTGAGAACCAGATTCTTGTCTGAATTCTTCAATAACTCTTGCAGCAATTTCAGCAAGCCTGCCTGAAGAGCAGGTGTTGAAGGTTGGAGAGCTTGGGGATAGCGAGAGAAGCGGACTTGCCTGCATTTGCAAATCTATGATAAAAAAATAAAATAAAAAGGAAGTTTTGATAGTTTTGGAGAAATGGAATAGGTTGAAAAGGACGGAAAAAAGGGTCTGAAGTTTGGGTTACAGATATAAAGCACTCAAGTGGATATGAAAATAGTGGGCTTCAAAATCAAATGGGTTGTTCAAGAAAGAATCTCCTCCAAGCATTAGAAAAAAAGGACGAGAGAAATGGAGTAATATTTGAAGAAAGCGCCAGAAGGCAAGAGACTAGAGCGGCAGACGCGTATTCTAATGAGGGGCAATTGGTGGAAATGTTTGGTGAAAGTTACCAATAAATCGGCTGTGCATGAGAGGTGAGACTTCTCTTTATAAATTTATGTTTTCTTTTTTTTTGTCCAACTCTAGATGGTGAGGGTCTTTCTCTTTCCTAATCTTGGAAAGTTCATTGCTTCTTTCACAGGAAAATATGAACTGGGTTTTGTTTTATAAGTGGAAGGGTATGTCAGTTCACACGTGTTTTGATAAGTATTTTGGCTCAACAAATTGGCTGAAATCCTTGAATTCGGAACTTTTCATCAAAATTCTCTGTAGTTGCAGTCAATGAGAAGTAGTAAGGTAATTGTGGTGGTGATGGTTGCATTTCTTCTCTTAGTTTCCCTCAGGCGGCTTAGCTGTAGTAAAAGTAAATGAGGGTAAGTCTTAATGCATTAATATTTCCACCCTAAGAAGACCTTGTTGAATAGATGTTTGATATGATCATTCATGGATGTGGATATTTGCCTTCACTTTTACAATATTATTATTATTCTGTTCAATTAAATGTTCCTTTTTCTTAGGATGATGCTGAAGTCCGTTTTCTTGATGCTATTAAATGTTAGGTCCTCTTGTTTTCCATTTTTATGACAAGAAAAGCAAATTTTCATTTCTTAAAGGCGAAAATATTGTATATATTGACCTCCAGGATCTTGAGAGTTAGATTGAAATCTTTTTTTTTTTTCTTTTCACAATTGTTCTTCGATTATTATCAGCTTTAATTTCCTTATCTTTAAAATCTAGTAGTCCAACGGCACTTGATCACGATAAAGAAGAATTTTGGCTATATCTATATATGCCACTTGGATCGTACGAAGGAAAAGCCAAAGGCAGGAGAGCCACATAGCAGAAATTGGCATCAAATATAATCTAATAATATAATAATCACATAAAGAAGACTTGGTTTGCTTTGCTTTGGCAAGAATTTGGCGGTGAGTAACCGGTAATGTGCAGGATTTTCGTCACAATCTCGATAACTGTACTTGACACGTGCGAAAATTCAACGCCTCACACGTGTATCTCCCCCGTGCATATCTAACGAGCTGGTGTTGCGAACCTGTTTTGCTGCCACGCAATCTCGAGAGAAAAGGATGCTTAACACTGAAGGATGGAAATTAACATAACAACTCACTTGATTTCGACACTGACTCATTTCCAGTTTTCAGTTCCCTTTTAAAGCTACAATTTTTCTCTTTCTCTTTTAATTAGGGGTATTTTTTTAATTTAAAAGGTAAATTGATCATTTTTTTAATAAAAAATTATCAACAAATAATTAAAAATATTTTTTATTTTTAAATTGATCTAACATGTATAATATTACGTTAACTCGGTCATGTTATTAATTTATCTCATAAACTCTTCATTTTTCATCTATAAATAGAAATATTCAAGTATTATTTATCTAGATCTTGCTTTTCTTCTACTTTATTTATTTTTTTACTCTCCTTTTGACATTTCACAGTCGACCTATGACTTAAGCGTCGAAATTAAATGTAAAAAATACGCTTTGTTTTGACTTTTAACCACTCTCTTTTTCTCTTATGATTTTAGAGTTTTATCCTTCGGTTCGAAGCTCCGTCATAATATTTGGTACGCCAGGTTGGGGGTATATATTCTTTAGCCAAGTTAGACATTGTACCGCCCAAAAAAAGAGTTCTTAAAGAAGGAAAACCAGTTGTCTCAACTAGAACGAAAACCCATACTGGCCAACCTACAGATCGACTTGCACTTCAAGCAAACCCAACAATGGAACGATTTTTACTCCAAGGCAAACAGATACAAGTCCTCAAACAAATGCTCCAAGCTATAACCCGATCATAAACCTCCAAAGTACTTGACCTAGTCATCCCTAGAAGACAACCAGCTATGAAGACATTGAGGCCTTTTTAGCCTCTTGAGAAGAAAAGCTTGCACCACCAGTCAACCTTTACTACCCACATACCTTTGTACTGATCACCACCCAAAAAACAAAACAACCCGTTCTAAACCTTAGTAGAGCAAAGACCTTGAAACTCGGATGTAGGCTATGAGAAGGAGTTAAAAGGAAAAGTTATGGCTTTTGAGGACAAACTGAAATTCTTGGAGACCTTACTTTTTATTGAGGATATTGACAAGACCATGTCCCTAAAGGAATTCAAGATGCCGACTTTGAAAACTTACTACCGTATAATTGATCCATTTGATAATTTAAAACTTTATAGAACTAACATGATGATGCAGTGAGCAGATAAGGCTCTCATGTGTAAAAGACTAGCAACCACATTCAAAGGGGTAGCTCGATCCTAGTATTGTAGTTTGAAACCGAGGTCTATAACTATTTTTATAGAGTTAAACCACTCTTTCCTACCTTAATTTGTAAGCAGTAGAAGAACTAAAAAAACTACTTTAAGTTTGATATCTATCCATCAAAGCAAAAACAAGTTTTTAAAAAATTATGTTGCACATTTTAACATGGAAGCTCTATAAGTGAAAGATCTAGAACAAACAGTCGCTATGGTTGTCATTACCAGTGGACTTAATGACAGAGAGTACCACTTAAATTTTACACTTTCCTTTGAACCACTAAAGACATTAGTTGACATGATACTTGTCAACAAAAAATATATAAACACTGAAGCTATAATGAAAAGCTAAGGTGAGAGAGGCTTATCCCCCCTCTTTGGTTAGAAGAAAGGTAAGGAAATCATGATCTTCCTCTGAGAGAGAGACAACAAAGGTACCCTAAAGCCATGAGCCTGAGCAAACAATGGAACTACACAGCTTTGAATACCTCTAGAAAGAGGATTTTGATGCAAATAGAAAAGGATCATGAGCTCAGATGGCCAAAATCACTAAGGCAGAACACTCGACGAGACTCTAACAAAAGATACGCATTTCATAAGGACTTCGACGACAACGCTGAAGACTATGTTGACTTGAAAAATGAGATAGAAAGTTTGATAAGAAATTGTTGGCTAGGCAGATTTGTGGACCAACCAAGATAGGGTTAGGGTTAAGGTAGGCTAGACTACAGATAGGGGAATTAAAAAGAAAAGCTAGAAAAGAATCATAAGGGAAATCTAGGGGGAAATCAAGGGTAATGAAGAAAAAAATAATGAATAGGGGGAAGAGGGTCGAGCTATAGACAACCAGCCCATTGTAAGCATCATTAATGTGATAACTAGTAGGAGCTCTACCTTAGCCAAAAGAGTTTGATGAGGGGATGATTATGGCCATTGTCTCATTGGTCAAGAAAAAAAAATAGAAAAATGAACCAATCTCTTTTAACTTGAAGAAAGGGATTCAATTCCCTTATGATGATACAATAGTGGTCATTGTTAGGTGTACAACCATGTGGTGAGAAATATTCTATTTGACAGTGAAAATCTGACTAATGTACTATACTATGCCACCATGTTGAGAATGGGTATAAAAGAAGAAATGTTAAAGCCATTCACCATCACTTTGATCAATTTTGAGAATAAACAAAGACTAGTAAAAGGAACTATCAGGCTACTGATCACATTGGGCACCAAGTCAAGGAGCATCACTTTGGTTATTAAATTTATAATGGTATATGTATCCTCAGCTTTCAATATTATATTACGTCAACCTAGCTAGTCTATTATGCAGCTAATTAGCTCAGCTTTTTATCTAAAGATCAAGTTTTTTACTTCAAATGAGGTTGGAAAGGTCAAAGGAAACCAATTCATGAGATGATAATATTATGTGATGAAGATGAAAAGTAGAATTGAGAAGCAGACTGACAATTTAGCAAAAATTGAGGAACTAAAGAAGGCAGATGTGACCAAGGTGAAAGTTAAAAAAGTGGAAGAAGTAAAGTAATACAACCTTGGTAAGGAGCAACATGAAATAGAAAAAGGAAAAGAAGCACACTCTTAAGCCACTTTAAGCTTTTAAGCTCTATAGTTGTATATACTATAAACTTTTGTAATTTTTGAGCAAACCTACAGAAGTCGAGCTCATAAGTCAACATATATACATACATGACAAACAAGACTGCATTGTTAAGCTAGCAAACATGCACACTTGTGAAACAGAACTAAGCTCTTAAGCCGCTTAAAGAAAATTTAAAATGAAATTCTACATTTTGATCAAGTTATATTTTTTTGCTAAATGACAATCACTAACTATCGTGTCAACATTTATCCTTCTCATAAGAAATAATCTCGACCTAAACAAGTAAAAAAAATCATTTATCAAATACCAAAAATTGATGACAACCGATCTAAATCAATAGAAGGCCTCATCTTTATATCATTTTAAGAGAATAACTCTAAAATTATATGTAAATTAAGGTAAGTTTCACCATAAAGAACAACTAATTCAACTATTAAGAAACAATGCTGACCTATTTGCATAGACTCCATCTGATATGTCGAGTATTTATCATAAGGTGATGGTCAATCGACTACACTAATCTGAACATAAAACTAGTTTGACAAAAAAAAAAACATATACCTCAGAGAGGCAGAAGGCAATAGAGAAAAAGGTTGGTAAATTGTTAAAAGCAAGCTTCATCAGGGATGCTTATTACCCTGATTAGATTACCAATGTAGTCATTGTAAAAAAACATAATGGGAAACAGAGAATATGTGTGAACTTTATTGACCCCAACAAAACTTGTCTAAAAGATAACTTTCCCTTTCTTAACATAGACCGACTGGTAGATTACAATGTCAAACATGGCCTATCTAAAATTAAATCAAAATGCTCAAAAAAGATGAGGAAAAAACAATCTTTATAACAGATAAAGGTTTATATTATTAAAAGGTCATGTCTTTTGGCCTAAAAAATGCAGGAATAACCTCTTAAAGACTGGTTAATAAGATCGACAAAAATATAGATGTATACATGGATGACATGATAGTAAAGAGCAAGATCTCAGCCAAACACTTGAAAGATCTGGAGAAAACATTTAATACCCTAAGGAAATACAACGTGAGACTTAATCCGACCAAAAATCCTTTATAGATCATGTTGAAAAATTTTCATGGTTACATGTTAATAAGAAAGGGAAAAGGCATACCCTAAAAAATCAAAACTATCACGAACATAAAAGCACCAAACTCAATCAATGAGGTGTAAAGGTTAATGAAAAGAATTGCCACTTTAAGTAGATTTATGTCCAGGTTGTCAGAACATTGCCTACTATTTTTTAAAATCTTTAAAAATATCTCAGACTTCAAATGGACACCACAGTGTCAAAAAGTCTTCGAAGAGCTAAAACAAAACTTTCGTCCCCACATATTTTGCCAAAGTCAAGGATTGATGAAATGCTCAACCTATACCTCTTTATGATCAACCAGGCCATTAACTCGATTCTATTCAAAGAAAAAAGAAAGATATAGGCCAATGTATTTTGTAAGTAAAGTACTAATAGAATCTAAAATGAATTACACCAAAATAGAAAAATTGGCATATACAGTTGTCATGTCAACCATAAAACCTAAGCTATACTTTTAGGCCCACACAATTAATGTCTTGACTAACCAATCACTTAGGCAAATTTTACAAAAACCAAAATTCTCTGATGGACTAATCAAGTGGATGGTTGAACTCAACAAATACGACTTGCACATACTCCCTAGATAGGTCCTAAAATCACAAGTGTTAGTAGATCTTGTCACTAAATGCACATCGATACAAATTGATTAATAGCCTAAAGAGGTTGATGAAATCAAAAAGGAAAAAATGTGAAAACTTTTTTTCGACAAGTTAACTACCAGCCAAATAAGTTGAGTTGATTTAATTTTGATTAGTCTAGAAAATCTATAGTTTTAGTGCACCCTAAAGTTCAAATTCAAAATTTCGAATAACGAGGTTGAATATAAGGCTTTAATAGTCAACTTGAGATTGGTATCCGAGTTGAACATGAAAAACATTATTGGATCTAGTGAATCCGAGTTGAACGTGAAAAACATTATTGGATCTAGTGACTCACAACTAGTGGTTGGCTAAATAAATAAAAAGTTCAAAGCTAGAGAAGAAGGAATAAGTAATATGAAAGTACCTAGAAAAAATGCTGACTCACTTGGTTGCATTCTTTAAGGCCAAAGTCAAAAAAATACCAAGGTTAGGAAACACACTAGCTAACTCATTATCTAGACTAGCT